AAATGTGAAGAGGATGGATGTGATGCATCAAAATGGGTATGAAACAACATCTTAATGATAAGCAAAAAGTTGGGAGTTAGTTTTCAGGTTTCGAAGACCAAGCTTTAGACTTATTCCAGGTTGTAGAAGGCAAAAGAAGGAGAGGGCCAATAAAAACATTGAAGTTAGGACGAAACAAGTGGTGGACAGGGAGAGGGAATTAAGGAGACTACAGAAATAACAAATCACGATAAGATCAACAAAGGAGGGAATGGGAGTAAGGTTGTGGCGACCATAGAACTAATATGATGGGTAAAATATATCATCGAATCTAAGGAAGATGAATGATGCAAAAACGCAAGAAACAAACAAGAGATGTTTATCAAAGTAGAAACCAGATGTTGTATGTCGCCAAGAAACAAAACAAGAGAATCAAGCATTGTAAGGGAAATGACTGTGAAAATTCATAAGCAAGAGGGATAGCTTCTGGTGGAGAGTGATAAAAGCTAAATTTGCATCAAAGAAGCAGGTTGTTAATCCAAGAAATTCAACAAGTCAATACAATGTTGGATTATGGAAGAGAATTAACTTGGGATGATGCAGAATGGAGTAGTTATACATATGCAAATAGATTAGAAACTATAATTCTATTAAATATAAAACTACTATCTTATTTAGGAGTCTATTATTATAGTTTTAGTAACTTTAGGATTTTACTCCTATTAGTATTTAATTTTCCTATTTGTGTTAATAACATTTCCTATTTCCTATTCTATTAGAAATAATATTCCTAACCTCATTAGTTTTAGTTTTTTATCTTATTAGGAGTAATACTTCTGCGCTTAATAGTTTTAGTATGCTTTACTTAATCCTACTTAGTAAAGGCTACTCAGATATTATAAATATCTTCGTACTTTTATTTCTGAGACAACATTCAGTTATTCAATAAAATATTTTGAGAATCTCTATTTTATGAACGTGTGATCTCCTGTGACGCTTAAAACTTTTTATATGTGATGTTAAGAAATCTTAAGTATGATATCTAGGCTTTTAACCCAAATTTCCTAAGTTGATAAATCAACTCTATTTGTCCTACATAAATAGAAAAAGAAAGTTCTAGAAGTACGTTGCTTAGAGGACGCTAAAAAGTGCAACTCCAATCGAACGAGTGGTTGGATGGGAGAACACTTCAACAATGTTTTTGAAGAAAATTAAGAGAAAATATTCTTCATTCTTTTGATGAATGATTTCCACACATATTTATACAAATCTACTACCCTAACAAGCTAACAAATTCTGGAGAGAAACCTAACAAAATTCTGTTTATAAGAACAAATTTGTTGTAACAAATTTGTTGGTGATTCCCTCCATTTACAGCACATAACAGCTGTAAATGGTTTCTCCATTTACAGCATATAACAGTTGTAAATAACTGTTTTTAATACAAATTTATTCTTCTAATTATTATATTTTCTACATGTGCTATAAATGGTTCCTCTATTTACAGCACATAACAGTTGTAAATAACCATTTTTAATCCTAATTTATTTTTCTAATTATTATATTTTCTACACTCCCCCTCAATCTAGTTTACGTATATGTTGAGTAAACCTAAATTGGATATTATGTCATCAAAGGTTCTCTTAAGAAGAGCTTTAATTAGAATATCTGCGATCTGTTGATTGGTTGAAATATGCATCAGAGTTATAGTCCCATCTTCCAATTTTTCTCTAATGAAATGACGATCAATCTCCACATATTTAGTTTTATCGTGATGTACTAGATTTTTGGTCATACTAATTGCTGATTGGTTGTCGCACCATACTTTCATAGGCATATTGTTGAGTACTTTTAATTCTTCAAGTATTCTCTTCAACCATACACCTTCACAAATACCATGAGCAAGCGCTCTAAATTCAGATTCTGCACTGCTGCGAGATACAAACGACTGTTTCTTGCTTCTTCAGGTAACCAGGTTACCCCAAACATAGGTACAATATCCTGATGTAGATCTCCTGTCATTTGTAGAACCTGCCCAATCCGCATCCGTGTAAATTTCAACACCCCTTCTGTCTGTTTTTTGAAAGAATAAACCTTATTCTGGAGTTTTCTTGAGATACCTCAGAATCCGATACACAGCACTCATGTGATCTTCTGTTAGTTGATGCATAAACTGACTTACTGTACTTACTGCAAAACTGATGTCTGGTCTTGTGTGAGCCAAGTAAATAAGTTTCCCAACAAGTCTTTGGTATATCCCTTCGTCAACCATTTTATTACTGATTCTGGATCCAAGTTTGATGACTGAGTCCATAGGGGTGTCAGCAGACTTGCTTCCTAGCATCCCAGTCTCTTTTAGGAGATCCAAAATGTACTTTCGTTGAGAAACTGAGATCCCCTTTTTTGATCTAGCTACTTCCATACCGATGAAGTACTTTAGTGCTTCAAGATCTTTTATTTCAAATTCTTTGGACATTCTTTAAGTTTCTGAATCTCCTCAAGGTGATCTCCTGCAAGAATGATATCATCAACATATATAATCAAAATAGCCTTTTTACCTAATATGCAATGTTTGACGAACAATGTATTGTCGGATTGACATTATTCATATCCTTTATGTTTTACAGCTCTTGTGAATCTGTCAAACCATGCTCTTGGAGATTGTTTTAGGTCATATAGTGATTTCTTCAATTTATACACTTTCTGAGAGTTATCAATTAATTCGAACCCTGGTGGTATATTCATATATACTTCTTCTTCCAAATCGCCATTAAGGAATGCATTCTTTACATCTAATTGATACAGTGGCCAGTCAAGATTAGATTAGAGTGAGAGGAATACTCGAATAGTATTGTGCTTGGCAACTAGTGTAAACGTCTCCCGATAATCTATAACATATGATTGTGTATAGCCTTTGGCTACCAGGCAGGCCTTAAGCCTGTTCACACTCCCATCTGGATTATATTTGGTTGTAAAAACCTATTTGCATCCCACTTGACGCTTTCCTGAAGGAAGATCAGTTAGTTCTCATGTCTCATTCTTTTTAAGTGCCCTGATCTCATCTAGGATAGCTAACTTCTATTCTGAAATTTCCAAAACCTCATGTATTGTTCTGGGTTCAGGTGAACTGCTGTCTATCCTGCTCACAAAAGCATGATGTTCCGAGGATAATTTGTCCAATGAAACATAGTCTTGTATAGGATGTTTGGTGCACCTCAAAGCAATAGGAATATTAGAATCAACGGAATCAAGAGTTAGTATAGAGATTACGTTACCTGGATCAGTGGGGAATTCATGGCAGTGCTTTGATGATTCGGGTGCTTTTCCTTTGTTTCTTCTTGTATAGACAAGTAACTCACTCGTTGCAGGTAATGTGCTTTCTATAACAGGTTTTGGTTCTGATTTCTTTTGTGAGGTTTTGGGTACAATCTCCAAAGAAAGTTTGTCTGGTGATGGATTTTGTGGATAGAAAAGTGGTACACACACATCCCACAACTGATATTCCTGAGTGAATGTCTCCCCCTGAATATCAGTGGTGGGATAAAATGGTTGATTCTAAAAAAAGGTGACGTCCATGGTATTATAAAATCGGCGGGTTTCCGGAACTAGACATTTGTATCATTTTTTATTTGTTGAGTACCCAATAAAAATACACTTTATTGCTCTTGGGTCTAATTTTCCACGAAAATGTTTATGAATGTGGACATATGCTAAACACCCAAATACTTTAAGTGGCAAAGTGTTTAAGATGTGAGAATCATGAAAGATTTTTTAGAGGATAGTGTATGATGATTGAAACTATAGAATACGAGAGGGCATCCGATTAATCAAATAGGTAACTGTAAAGACAGTCTCTCCCCAAAGATATTTTGGTACATGTACGGTGAACATGAGAGATCTAGCAACCTCAAGAATATGTCTGTTTTTTCTTTTGGCTATGTCGTTTTGCTGTGGAATATGAACGCAAGAGGTTTGATGAATAATATCATATTAGTAAAGTATTTTTCAAGAGTATTTTCAAAATATTCACAAGTATTGTCGGATTTCAATACTTGGATAGTAGCATGAAATTGGGTTCGAATCATTGTATGAAATTTTTTAAATAGGAATCTCACTTCAGATTTTTCCTTCATCAGAAATACCTAAGTAATTCTTGTATGGTCATCAATAAAAGATACAAACCACCTAGTTCCGGAAACGTTAGAAACCTTGGAAGGGCCCCAAACATCACTGTGAATTAATGCAAATGGTTTAGATGGTTTATATGGTAGACTATGGAATGAACTTCGAGTATGTTTAGAAAATTGGCAAACTTCACACTGTAATGAAACTGGATCTTTTCCTTTAAATAGTAGTGGAAACATCCTTTTTAAATATATGAAGTTTGGATGTCCTAATCTATAGTGCCACAACATAATATCATGATCATTATTTTTGAAAATAGGAACAGAGTTTTCACATACTGCATTGTGAGCTTGTCTTTTAGAGGTGTTGACTTGAAACAAATATAATCCCGAGCTCATCCTACCACTGCCAATCGTCCTCCCCGAGTCCAAATCCTGAAAATTACACATATTATAAACAAATTTGGCAGCACATTTCAAATCTTCACATAGTTTACTGACAGACAACAAATTACAATCCAAATTCGAAACATGGAGAACTGAACAGAGAGTCAAATTTGGAAACAAATTTACAGAGCCCATTCCTGCCACTTTTGAGAGAGAACCATCTGCAATTCTGATTGAAATATTTTCTTCACATCTTCTGTAATTTTGGAACATTGAG